GTATTAGCTGATTTAGAAGTACATAGAGTTAGATTAACTGCGATGATAAATTTGATAATGAGTGGGTCAACTAGCAATTATATCTTAAGAACGAGAGCGAAGAAACTACACCTAGGAATGAAAGTGCAACAATTGGATCAACCGAAGTGTTGATATTGGCAAATGATAGGTTGTTGAGCATTGATGAGTATATGTAGGGAATCAAATAAAATGAGATTTGGTGCGCTAGTAAACAATGGGTCAACTAGGACTTGTACATTAAGAAATGGAGTAAAGAAAGTTTAAGAAACTACATTTAGGAACATAAGTGTATAAATTAGATGCGTCTGTAATGTCGACATTGACAAGTGGTAGACAGATTAGTTGTCGAGTATGTTGAGGGGATGAAGGCATACTTTCGATCGAAGGGGGGGGGGGGGGAACTACAGACGATATTGCATTCCCTAAACCTTTTAGTGAAACACAACCTACCCTTAGAGATATTTGTTGGGGACCGACTAGGGAGAAATGGCAAAGGCATATATTTACATGGGCGAGCACGAGTGTTGGCCCATTGCATTGATGATACGAAGAAAAATGTCAGATTATTATCATTATTTCACGAGTTTGGTTTCAAGCCTGCCTTATCCGATGCTATATAACCACCTGTGTATGTTAAACATACAATGAAGTGAAACATGGTAGATCAAGTATTTATGACACACGTCGGTCAGTTCGAGAACGAAAGAGGAAATATCACCCCCTATCAAAACACTGCTTGAAGAACTCGTAGAAATCGAGAAAGCACCTAAATGGAGTAGAACCAGAAATCAAGAATCGGATAGAGATTGAACCCGGACGCAAAACACACTGAACGGACCTACGTACAAGATGATTTCTCAAGGTCGTAGAATTGAAGAAGCAACATAATGAGTTGATCAAGAAGAGGTGAATTAAGCCTAACTCATCACCGTGAAGTGCACCTGTGCTCTATTCCTCCTTGAGAAGACATGACAGTCAACAATGTGTATAGATTCTGGAGGACTCGCTACAATTACAGTTAAGAATGTTAAACCACCTATAGATACGAAAAGGCAGATTGAGCCTCTCCTAAAAATTTGGAGGTCATGAAACGTTCATCAACTTGAGAGAAATTATCAGAAATGTGAGTTTCGTCGCACCAGGATCTGATATTCGCGGATGGACTTAGGCCGGAAGATGCGAAGGTGGCTAGTATTCGGGACTGGCCTCGGCCTCAATTTGTGAGGAGTTCGGGTCTTTCTTGGGGATGACAGGCCACTACCGCAATTTCGTAAGAACTATAGTGCAGTTGTTAACCCCTTGACGGATCTAACAAACCAAAGTACATATTGACCATATAATAAGACTAGATTCTTTCGAGATTCTAAATATGATACATTTGAAGCAGTTTTGGTCACCACTTCGTGTACAACAATTCGGTGGAGATGTCCGAATTGCTGCACTTTGTGCCTGGAGGCTCGCAAGATTCAGTCAAGTACAAAATACAGGTAGGTCCTGCGCGCCTCAGTCAAATACAAAATAGGGGTAGGTCCTGCGCGCCTTGACACCCCGTGAAAGTGGACTGGTGGTCCGGCGCGCCTCAGTCAAGTACAAAATAGAGGTAGGTCCTATGCGCCTGGACACCCCGTGGGAGTGGACTAATGATTGCCAGAGAGCCTTCAAGAGATCGAAGTGTGCTCTCATGCATCATGATATCTTAATGCTCTCTGATCCCCAAAAGCCATTCATTGCCACCACTGACGCAGGCCAATATGGCATTGGCATAATGCTGGCTCAGCAGGAGGGGGAAAAGATGTGGCTCATCCAGTATATGAACAAGAAGCTGTTGTCGAAGAAGTTGGCAAAATCCACCTATGAGAGGGAACTCTACGCCCTGTACAAAGCTCTAATCCACCGAAGACATTATCTCTTGGGCAGATTCTTCTAGTATTTGAGATCGGACCATCAGACACTCAAGTGGATTAAGACACAACCTGTTCTCTCAGATGCACTCACACGAGTCATAAATCAACATGACTTACGTGAAGGGAGAGTGCAACAACATTGGTGATGCACTTCCGCGTAGAGCGAGCCTCCTAGGCACGCTGATTACTGAGTTTGCCCTGTCTAACAAGCTTACTCCATCCATCACGGAAGCCTAGAAGGAAGATGCCATCATAATGGACATCATCCGTATGCTCGCAACCAGACCAAGGCCGCATCCAATGAGTTTGTGGTGGTGGATCCGTTACCCTTTCTTGAGAAGGCTGGGATTAAACGATTGTGTGTCCCCTCTAGTGACTCTTTTGCCTAGTTTGTTTCGAGGAGAATGTCATGATGGAACAAGAAATTTCGGTTATAAGAAGACTAGTGCTAATTTGGTACAACGATTTTGGTGGCCCTCTATGCTTAATGATGAGAAGAGTTACATACAGACTTGTCACGGCTGTCAACGGGACAAGCCGAGAACTCAAGCACCGCTAAGCCTTGGGTTAATCAAGCCCTTGCCGATTCCTGCTAGCCCGGGACAGAGCCTTTCCGTGGACTTCATGGATACCCTCGTGACCAGCAAGAGTGGCAGGAGACATATATTTGTCATACTAGACCTGTTCACCATGTACACCAGGTTAGTTGCCATGCCAAGACTGAGCACGTCATCAAGTTATTTATGGATAACTGGGTGCGTGATTTTGGACCCAAGTCGATTGTTAGCGATAGAGATGTTTGTTTCACCAGCGAGATGTGGAAGACTGCGGCTGAATAGATGGGCAGCCATCTCCATACAACTTCAGGGAATCAAGCCAATGGACAAACGGAGCAGATGAACAGCGTGGTACAGCACCTGCTGCAGCATTACATCAACCACAGCCAGGACTGGGATGGCAAACTGCCTCTCATCGCCAGCTTGTACAACAACGCTGTTCACAGCACCACCGGTGTCTCTCCGAATGAGCTGCACTTGGGATGGAAGCCTCGATCAGCATTCAACTTTCTCATTCAGCTACGATGCCCGGAACCATTGAATTTGGTGTCCAGTACGAGAAGTCGTTGCAGCAGGCTGTCGACTACATCGAGAAAGTTCAAGAAGCTATGATAAAATTTGGGAACAGACACAGACGAGAGTCCACACTTCAGGTCGGAGAACGAGTCTGGGTTAAGGATAGTGAATTAGGACAGGAGTTCGGCATCTCTCGACAGCTACTGCCTCAGTATTTTGGTCCTTGGGAAGTCTTAGATATCGTGGGCAGCAATCTGAATGGTCCCTCCTATGTCGTTTGAATCCCTGGTCACCTACGCACTTTCCACACTTCCAAGCTTGCACCCTTTGCTGAGACTGGCCGGTTCCCATCAAGCAGATCGATGTTGCCCCCAACCATGGGTGGCCACATGGACATTGACAACATTCTGGATCATCGAGATCTGCCTGTTCCAAAGCCAGTTGGCAGAGGAAGACTGCTGAAACCTACAAGAGAATACAGGGTCAGATTCAGGCATCACACGGATCCAAATTAAGACCGTTGGTTCACGAAAGAGTTTTTTAAAATAGCACCTCAAATTTGCTGAATATGAACAGAAGTTGAAGGGGAAAACACCTGCGTAGAAGCATCTCAGCGGACTTTCGAAGCTGAGGAGGAGAGAGTGCGAGGACTGAGCAGTCGCAGGGCCTTCCAGGCCGTGGACCCGACAGACAAGGGGGCCCCAAGTGACCCTCGTGCCCAGCGTAAGTGGAGGCGGGCCTGCATTTCAACATGACACCGTATTTTTGTCATTTCTGCATGTGGGGGTGCCAGATAGTTTCCACGTGCAAGTACGTTACAAGGTGTTCTCAGGCCTTCTGGCCAATGAGGAAGCAAGCGTGTGACACCGGAGCCAGGCTACTGCGCACATGGCTCCCAGGCCCAGGCTGCTGGAAAGCAGGGCAGCACTTTCCATTTAGGAAGTGCCTCGCCCAGGGCAGCCCATTCTGGCAGTGCACGACAGGGCGCCCACGCTGCTCCACTACAGCGCTGGGATGCTGCCTGGTCACTGACTGCCATGTGCGTGCACGGGCGCAGGTGGTGAGGGGGACTACGGTGGCATGGGGAGCGAGCAGCAATATCCGGGCCTGTTCGTGGGGACGCAGGTGATGGGGATGGTGGTCTTCGGGTGCACGGTGTGGGAAGACACCGATGAGAGAGACACATACCTGGTGGATGCGGCAGTCTACATGTGCGATGTCGTCACGTACATTGGTCTTCAGCTTGAAGTGATTCCTGTTGCATGTCATAGCTGTAGGCTAGCATAGGTGTTGAGTAGGATAGGCTGGGCACTCAGCACCAAAAGAGACATAGGGTGGCCTCCCTTATGCACCCTGAACATTATTAGGAGCAGGTTGATGTCAGTGAAGCCAACCACTTTTCTCAGGGGTATCACTAACTCCGGGCGACGAAGTGAGGCTTTCCTTAAGAGTCCTTTTACCCTTCCGTCAAATGCATCCTGGACAGAATGCCAGGGTTCAACCTCCTGATAAGTTGGCGAAGCCAGACAAAACAGCCCGCGGCTCAAACGCGTTTTTTTTGTTGGAGTTTTGCATAACGAACATGAGAACACCACATAGGAAAAGGAGAGGAGGATAAGGAAGAGGAGGAGGGCGAGGCGGCGAAGGTGGATAGCGGAAGATGGTGATATCCACCTCGGGTGTACACATTGGACGAACAGCGGCCAACATTGCTGACGAGGCTCCTACTGCAATCTCACTTTTGCTATTTTGCGTAAAGCTGAGTTTTTTTTTTTTTTTTTCCCTTTGTAGAAACACGAAGGCATATTCCATGCTTCTGAGGACATCGATTTGATGCTCGACATACCTGCACTGTCCCACATGCATGTTCCGCGCCTCAAGCTTCCCTTCCACCAGCAGCACGAGGATAAAAAGTCGTTAAAACCCCTTTTTAAGTTCTCTTTCTGTAAAGATCATCTCTGTACATAACCACATTCGCTCTGCCAAGAAAGTCGTTCGATTCCAGAAAACACAACCTTCATTGAAAACCTTTCCACCTGGGATCTGCAGTTAGATGAATCAGACTTCGGATGCAAATCAGTCAAGCTCGTACCTGAACGGAAGAAAAAAAAAAACATCCCTGCCTCCAATTGCTCCTCCGGCATGTCAGTACGACAACTGAAATAGACATAGACACTGTACATTCTCCCTCCCAGCCAATGCCAACACCAAACTGAAATACACAAAACTCACTCAATGAAAAGACAGCTAAGCCAAACCTTGCTCGATACTTTTATCCATAAATGTGTTCATCCCGACGACTCCTACCTGCATACATGGTTTCATGGTCGATAAGATTACGAAGCCCCCACTCACACTTACTTCTCTCCAGTTTTTTTCTTTTGAGACTTTTCCCTTTTTCCACCCGCATTTACGCTTCTCTAGACCATAAAGAACGGTCTTCGCTACATGTCCTCTTCTTATCTTGCCCTATATTCCAAATAAAACACTAAGTAGTCAATATTAGACGGAACGAGAAGACTTAAAAAAGAGCATATCTTTCGAGGAACTAAACTATGCGTTGTGCTTCAGGAAGGCAGGTCAGAGTCACATTTGCCTTGCACAAGCCTTCCTTTGGCATTTTTTGTTTATGTATTAGGCGATTAAGAGTCGTAATACTTCACTCATCTGCTTCCAGTGGAGTTCGAACCCGGGTCTCTATTTCAACAGTACAGTGGCGTCTGGCGTACCAACTGAGCTAGGCCAGCCAGTACGATAAGAAGAGAACGAGTAGCAACGACCGTTTCTGTATTAGGCGATCAAGAGTTGTAGTACTTCACTCATCTGCTTCCAGTGGAGTTCGAACTCGGGACTTTATTTCAACAGTCCAGTGGCGTCTGGCGTACAAACTGAGCTAGGCCAGCCGGTACGATAAGAAGAGAATGCGTAGCAGCGACCGTTCCTCTTCACTATTCCGAATCCTTCTTATGTATGTCTGACCTCTCCAGGGGGTTTTCCACGGACAGCATCTCTTGATCTCCTGCTGGCACAACCCCGACATACCTTAACAAGGATCCGTAGAGCTGTATTATCCAAATGACAGGTATCGGAAGGTGGTGTTCCTATGGCAACCTTCATTCGCTGAAGGGAAGGCTCCATTAGTTGTGCTATCTCCACAAAAGCCGGTAGTACAGCTATGATCTTCTGCTGGCTACACCCCTTTCCTCACGTACTCGACATAGCAGAACAAGGATCCCTTGAGCTGTATTATTTGAATGACAATGAAGGCGGTGTTCCTATGGCAACCTTCGATAAAGGGCAGGCTCCATAAAGTTTTGATATCTTCCTTGTGCTATCTTCTTCAGGCTCAGAAAGCAGGTAGTGCAGGTATGATCTTCTGGCTACATACCTTTCCTCACGTACTGAGCCAAACAAGCCCTTGAGCTTTCTCTGTTGGAATCCTACAATCTTCCCAGGAGCACAACACAGAGCCTGACACAGAATGTAGCACCAGTGTGTACTGGCCCTAGGTCTTGCTCTTCTTGGCACAAACGTCCTGTCCTTCACGAGGTAGCGTAGGTATGATCTTTGCGCTCCAAGCCTTTTCTCAGCTCCTGGGGCAGACAAGCCCTTGAGCATGGTTGGGCTCGTGCTGTGTTCCCTTGAATACAAAGCACCCTGATCGCTGAATGCATACAAGCTCTACGGATGTGATGATGGTGTTGTGGTCTGGGCAAGAAGGCAGTCCACATAACGAGATGTTTGTGTGTCCGCCACCAAGTCTTAGGCTTGCCGTTGGAAGACATTCCTTGTGCCTTCCTGTTTGGCGTCTGCCGCTCTACCATGCTTCCAGTGGTCAGAACGGATCGCCCAGCTTCATGGGACAACAAAGCAAAGGCCTTCATCTCCTTCCACAAGTGCGGCGGTGTATGGATCGACATCAAGATCTGAAGCAAGAAGAAGTCTACGCCCAGCTGAGATATCGAATCACACACTTTCTCACCACATAGAACTTGTCGTTGCCATTAGTTTTGTCCTCTCATGCTTCTTTTCGGCATCGACTTTTCACCCCTTTCCATCTGCTGACTGGGCACAAGGTTGGGCTCATTCCACTTCCTGCATGCACATGCGCGCTCTTTCATCTGTCTATACAGCTTGATCGACCGCATTCCACGATTTGAACTGTGTACACATGCAGACTGCCTCATCAGAGCTGCCCAATGACTCAATCACTGGATGGTGGCCCTCTGTCTGGCTTCCATGCAGTTTGTTTGACGAAGGATCCAGCCATCCCATCTCACTGCCTCGTCAAACCTGTGTCCACGGATACACTCAAGGAATGGATGGCGATCGTCTGTCTGCCTTCCCTGCAGTTCGACAAAGAATGCGCCCATCCCAGTTCGAACTTCCCAGCGTTTTTTTTCGTTGACAACAGCAATATGCAATCGCTTTCCTGCTCTCTTTCATCAAAGCCTGGCAGGCCAGAACCTGGGTGCTACCCAACTCCCGAGAAGTCTGCAGCGTGTGCATATGAAACAGACGGAAAGGCTTGGCCTGGTCGATGCATGCTGCTTGGTCACTGACTCACTGGTCATATCCAACGCCTTCCTTGACTGCCTAACACCTCCATGCCACCTCAGAACACATAGACTGACACAGTTTGCCCACCGATCCTGCCATAAACTGATCGGCTGCTGACTTGTGGTTGTAGCAGAGCGCTGGTGGGCTTTGACATCGGACTTGCTGCATTTGTGCAATCGGATGAACTGCGATGAAAAACCAGAAATTCCCAAACTGTGCCACACTCTCGGAAAATGGGAACTGTGTCATGTGGCATCCAATGACATGGCTCGCCACCAGTGTTCAATATCATCAGTCCCCGAGGATGGTGGTGGAGGGAGGAACGGCGGCTTGATTAGCACAAACTTCCACTCACCAACCTCTGGATCGTCCTCTGGGTCGTCCTTTGTACACGGCTCCTGCAATTTCGAAAGCACCAACAGAGCCCCAAAACAGATGAAATCGAAAATCCACCGCGTCTTCTCTTTGTTACTTCCCTCACACTCGCACCAAACCGCAATGCTAATTGAAATAGAAGCCAACCTCTGTCATGTGCACACTGCACAGTCCATTGTGCTCGAGGTGTTTCAAATGTGAAAACACTGAAAAGGGATTTCAATTTTCAAAGTATGAAGTGTGAACATCAATATGGAAAAGTTTCACACATTCATGTGAAATTGTGAATGCCTTGAGAAGTCCCTAGAGGATAACTTTTTTTTTTTTTTTTGACCATTTTACAACGAGTCCACAGATTTGTTTCCAGTGTTTTTTTTTTTTCCCCCCTTTCTCGGACGAAACATTGCGACCCATTCTTTCCTCACAGATCATGCTAAGACGGGTATGCAGGGCTAGTCTTCCCACAGAATACTTGCTATCATTTCCTCAARTTTTTTTTTTTTTTTTTTAGACTGTGGCAACACCCTTTAGTTGATCTGCCAGTTCCGTCCGTCCCTACTTCCCTCTTCTTTCACTTCCGCTCCAACGATGATCTGCTTTACAGAGATGCCCTTTTCCATCCACTTTCTCCAGTGTGTACATCTGCTAGCTATAGCATGCCCCGTTTTTCGTTGTGGTCCCATAGGAGTGTATTGCCGAGCAGGGGCTGCCTGAGTGCTTCTTCCTTCACTTGTGGTTTTCTAATTCTCTCCCAGAAGGCTTCTCTCCAGATGTTGATTAGCGTCGCGTCGCCCCCTAATGTCCACCAGGAGGTTCCTTGGTCGCTTTCTGTCGATCCTTTCCTCCGTTGTTTTCTTTACGTGGGGACCAGTAATGGTTCATTAGTCAGTGGTAATCCCTCCAGAAATGACGAATTACGGTTCAAATTATTATTCATTTCATTAAATGAAATTTTGAATCTTTTTTATTATAATTAATAAAATTTTTCAATAATATAAATACAATGTTTGAGGCCAATCTGAAACGCACACTGTCTCCAATCTGGTAGACAGCTGTGTTGTGCGAGGGAAGTTCCTTAACTCAATAGTCGAACTATCCACTTCGTTTGCAGTGGTTTATGTTCTATAACAGGATTTAAGATGGAAGTCCGATTTAAACGACCAGGTACGGCATCACATTTGACAGCTAAGGAAGGTACTAAGGCCTAAGGCACCTTCGCTTACTGGCCTGGCTGTATACTTCCAGGCTACTTAAGTGATGACACGACGGGCCAGAGCAGCTGCACCCACATAAAAGGAGTGTGGATGATGATGCAACCTAGTGGAGATTTAGTAGCAACCAGGCAGAGCAAAGCAAGCAGAAGAACATCTGCTGATCCCCTGACCAGTCCCATTTTCATTCTAAGGGGGACAAAAGGTGGGCACACAACTACGAACACGCAAAGTGAAAGATTTCGAAAAAAATGACCGTAAATTTCCTCATGACCTATTAGGAAAAATTTTAGAGAACACAACACAGCCAGTAACATTGTTTCCACTCTCTTTGCCCTGGTAGTTACTCCTTGGTAAATTTGTTAACCATTGTTTAGGAGTCACGACCCATGTGATTACCATCGATTAGGACCCGTCCGTGCAATTCGTTCCCTCCAACTACTATCGAAAAGATGTGTTCAAATTTGGCCAGTCCCCGCAACTTGGCGAATAGTAACCCCAACCTCTCCCCCCACCAAAAATCTTTCTCATCCGGTTGCTTGTGTCCCAACCAGATTCCACCTCTAGGATGCTGTCGGCACTTGTAGCCTACTTATACAGCAAAACACATTGCTCATTGAGTCATTGGCAACATGCAAGGAGTGCATTCACACTCTGTTTAGAACGCATGTCAAGCCGCGGAATACGAATCCGCTCGCTGGCGTTCATCTTCCTCCGTTACTGGTTCCTGCGTTCGGACATTGCCCATCTTGCCAATGACTGGCTCTCCAAAATCCCACCGGGTACACATCCTGCCGCTGTGTGAACCAGTGGAACACTCCGTAATGTGTTCTCTTCCATGCCCTGCTTGCATCCTCATAAACGATCATAGTTTCCCATATCCTCTCTCTCTCTCTCTCTCTCTCTCTCTCTCTCTCTCTCWCWCACACACACACACACACACACACACACACACACACACACACACACACACACACGCACACAGAGGGGATCATCGCAGAAGAAGAACAGGGCGAGGGAGAGCAGGAGGGCAGCAGTGATACAGGGGAACATTGCAGAAGAACAACAGAGCGAGGGAGAGCAGGAGGGCAGCAGACGGTAAGTTTGTATAATAGAAGAGAAAAGAAAAAATAAAAGACTAAGAGGAAGGGAAGATTAGGACTATAGAGTACAACAATATTGTTTTTGTTTTTGTTTTTTCACTCTAGATTTCTTTCAGGACGGCTTTCTCTCATGAGAGGTTCTGTGTGAACCCGCAGCTGGATCCCGGGCTTTAGGAAACACATGACCCAGTCCTTACCACAGTTATGGGAGGCGGATTGCCTCGTGATGAGATAAGGAGCTGAGACCGACGAAACCAAGCACATGCAACTCGCACATCCAGCACTGGGTTCGCACCGCCAGGGTGGGTGGAAGAGTAGCTGGACACACACCTAACGTTAGGAATGTTTTTTAGGAGTTCTGTAGATACACAACGATGGGCTTATAGCTTCCAAGAGAAGCAGGATGTTGTCAGCATAACAGCAGGGGAAGGGACATCATCCGGCGGCAGCACCCAGCACACACACACACACATCATCCGGCGGCAGCACCCTTACGGCACATTTCACTGGTGGAAGTAAGGCGATCTCCAAGGGTGACGCAGGGCTGCTGCTTGAAGTGTGCCATGGACTATCAGATGGGTCAAGATCTACTGGATCGGCTGACTGGCGACGATGAGGACGTGGTATAATCCTGACGACCGCTCTCCTTCCTAAACGATACGACACACTCTCTGCACCAATCATCATCACCACACCACTAAAAGGCGCGCTTCTGCGCAGCACAGCACTGCACGCTACCCTCGTGCACGTAGGGGATGATTGCATGCTTGTTCATCCCGTACAATCTGCTTCGCTGGGCGGGGGGCAAATTACTGGCTCTAGGATCAAAGGATGGGCCATCGAGATGTCAGCATATGTGTTATTCGCATTTATTGCATTGCTGGCATTCCTTGTGTTTCTGGCCTTTTTATTTCATTTGCAGATGCTGCCGCCGCCCGTCCAGCCTAGAATTTCAAAGCATATGTGACAAGAGCAGGTGTTACCCTCTGATGAAGCCGCACAATAGTGGCTAGCGGCAGAAAAGCCCTTCAGGGATTGCCACTACCCTCCCTGCTTTGGTTGTCTGGGTTCGTCTCCCATATTACATGGAGATGCGTCTGGGGATACAGCCAGTATTGCTCACTGTTTTCATTCGGTCAAGTCGCTGCGTCATGTATTGCTTGCGTGACAACTCAATATAGGTCATGAAGGAGATGGACTTGCATATCATTGGTGTCTATTTTTTCTTCCCCCTTGTTTTTTCCCTCTACGTCATGGTTGCATCCCTGCCGACCGCCGACCCCGACCGCCGACCGTATTGCAGCCGACCAGTAGGGCCGACCGGTCGGCGGTCTGCCGACCAGTCAGAAAACAACCATCCACTAATTTCTTTTCAGATCTGAGTTGAAAGCTGTACTGCGCTTGCTGAGTACAGCCCAAATCCGCTGAGAAACTTTTGGGGATGGGGGGTTTGGGACTGGGGTGTATAGGGGGATATAGGGGGGTATAGGGGGGTATTGGGGGGGGTTATGAGGGTGTTGGGGGCCGGTTTGTGGGTGTTGGGGGGGTGTATGGGGGTATTTGGGGTGGGTATGGGGGTGTTCGTGGGGTTCTTAGGGGTTCTGGACCCAAAAAAAAAATTAAAAAAATCGGTAGGTGCCGACCAGCCGACCGGTCGGCGGGTCGGCAGCCGACCAGTCAGGGGTCGCCGACGGTCGGCGTGAGCAACACTGCTCTACGTTCCGATTCATTTTGTTCTCCTGTTTTTTGCTTTTTTTACTTCATTGTTTTCGCTTTTTTGCTGTGTATATACCATTGTTGCACCCCCTGACGGTCGGCGGCCCTTGAACGATCGGCTGCCGACCCGCCGACCGATCAGCTGGTCGGCACCTACTGGTCGAGGGTCATCAGCACCCCACGAAATAAATAAATAAAATAAAATAAAATAATTTTGGGGGGGTCCAGAACCTCTATAACACATCCAACACCCCCCCAAACCGCCCCCAACACCCTCATTACCCCCCCCAATACCCCCTATATACTTTAACCCCAACCCCCCCATATCCCCCCCCATCCCCAAGAGTTTCTCAGCGGATTTGGGCTGTACTCAGCAAGCGCAGTACAGCCCCCGACTCACATTTGAAAACAAATCAGTGGACCTTTTTCTTTGTTTTTCTTTTTTTTTTTTACTGGTCGGAAGACCGCCGACTGGTCGGATGCAATACGGTCGGTGGTCGGGGTCGGCGGTCGGCAGGGATGCAACCCTGGTATATACTATATATCTCGTCAATGTGTGACAAATGAATGCATTTGTATGTAAGTGTTAATGACCTCAATGATTGGATGCAATCTTGTCATAATTTTCTGATTTCGGAATCACTCACAAGATCCTCTGTTTCTAGGCTGTAGCTATTTTTTTAATTTTTTCTTTTTAAGATTTCTTGAGGTAGTTATTCAAGAATGAGTAAGAATGAATGAGTGAGACCAGACGTCACACGTACAAGCACCTCCGCGCACAGTATCTGTGCATATTAGTGTCGCACAGATTGCTACGTATGGTCGTGCTTGGCGTTCAAGTATGCACTCCTCCACTGTTTCATTTGTAAGAGCAGTACCTCCCAACCTACGAATGACGACTTTCATGATGATCTGCTTAATGGAGTATGGGGATGTTGGATTTCCTGATGTAGGAATAGCGCTTATGTTTGTCCTCAGTAAAAGCTTTATGACCCAAGCATCGGGTCGATTCTGCGCCAGGTATTCGTTTCTACCATTACTATTTCTATAGTCCTTCCACAGACGCCATCTTGCCATTTGGCTTTCTACGTCCCGAGGGATAGGCACGGGGTAGCAGGCCAAGCACGAGAAGCGAGGAACATCTTTCGTGTTTGTCTGTTTTGGATCGACCGTTGCGGGATTGCCACATGCAGTTCTCATTTCGCGACGGTACTGACTTCCACATCAGCACTAGGGCAAAGGAACTATACGTGGCCGCACCTGGCGTAAGACGATCGATTATGCCCCTGAACGTCGATTGTTTGATAACCCCCCACTGATAATAAGACATGACGGATATTGGTTTACAGGCTAATGCTTGAATCAGTATACCTAGCACGAGTGCCCCCCCACATGTAGTATGTGGACAATCATCTGTTCGGCACCGGGTAAGGCACTACATCTGGTGGTGCTCGCTGGCACGGATCATCCACGTAGAATGTACGAGTTTGCTACACCTAAATAATGGATAAGCTCACGTAGAGTTAGTTAATAATCGCCAAATACATCAACCAAGCTTCTGACTGGTATGAGTGTGCCAATGATACCGGTCCTCAGAGGTACAACCCGTGGTCACATTTTTTTGCGCAGACATCTGAACAATTATGACCCGGTATAACCGCACTGGACTCCCATGTTGGGCTGGTTGGCTGGGTAAATCCTGTGCATGCCTGATAAGGATAGTGGGGTTGCGCGATATAATACTTCGGAGCTTGACTGTGATACGTTTATCATACCATGCTTCGACATGTTCTCTCTCACATGGCGTACTCTAACACACACACACACACACACACACACACACACACACACACACACACACACACACACACACACACACACACACACACACACACACACATCGCCTATTCCTTGCTGACCTTCTCCCACTTGTTATGCAACCTGTTCGGGATGAACGAGTTTGGCCTTTCCTCGCTAATGAGCTGATTGGGTGGAGCCATCAAAACCATTTCAGGCGTTCTCTACGAAGCCCCCTACCATCCATCTCGCTGCATCCGGGACTGCTAAGCCAAATCGGGAAAGTGCCACATTCTGTGTGTGTGTTTGTGTGTGTGTGTGTCTCTGTGTGTGTGTGTGTGTGTGTGTGTGTGTGTGTGTGTGTGTGTGTGTGTGTGTTGTCATATTCGATATACACTAAAAACAAGCATGACTGT